TAATCTATCATTTGAAACAAATCGCATTCAATGCATAACTCATTGAGACTGAGGTTAAGGTTAGGCCAAAAAACTGAGAACAAGTACTTCAATCTCAATGGTCTTCCTGTTGTTTTGTGCGATAATTGACTCAAAAAATGAAACTATAAATATAGTAAATAATAATAATAATAAAAGAGATAAAAATTAATGGTTATAAACAATAAGTTCTGCAATAATAATAATACTTATTGGGAAACAAAGTCAACATACATTTATAGTATAAGTTTGAATAAATAGCTATTAGACATGATATTAGGGTATGAATAAATATCAGGCAAAATGGCATAACTATAAGTTGAATGACAATAAATTGAATGCATAAATGCAGTGATCAACAGAAATATGTGACAGAGAGTGGTGTCAGAGCTGTTGTCAGCGAAAAATTTGAGCAAAAAATCAATTCATAAGTGCTTTGAATGGAAATGAATGAATGGCATAGTGTTTGTCTGTGTGTCTAAGAGATATGAATACAGAGTATTTATAGCGATATTTACTTCTAAGTTAATGTTGACTAATATTCGTCTTTGATTATCGTTATTGATATGAGTGGCGTGAGTGTCAGTCCCGCAAATGCAACAGTGATTTATCGCCCACTGGCCCACAATACGTGTCCAACACAGATAGTCGTGTTCCTGAGAGTAACAAACAGACAAAACTATTATTTATTTTGATAACAGCAACAATACAATACAAATACAGATTCACATATTTATTCGCTTCTTATAGCGGAATAAAAATATAAATAAAAATATGAATATAAATACAAAAGACATAAATTTTCATTAGTAGTCAGTCATACGAAGGGGAGAGAGTAGAGCAGAGGGAGGAATAAACACATAAAACAAGAGTTAACCTAATATTCAATAATTTATATTTAATTATTTTTCACTCATTTCTCAGTTAAACATATAATTTAGAGACAAAAGTAAGAGAAAATTAACCGAAAAATTTTCTTCAAAAATAAGACATTGTTTTGAAATGAAGTGAAACAAAAGTTGGAAAACTAATATAATTTATATTATATTTGCTCTCAAATCCAAAATAAATAAATAAATAAATACACAGCGCATACTACTCGATATATAATTGTATTATTATTTTTAAAAAGTAATTATTTATTCAAAGAATAAGGTTATGAAATATAAAATAAAAATACATTAAAATAAAATATAAATAAAATTTTATGGCAAAAGTGTGATAAGAAGTGTCACTCCATTTCTATGGTTTATAGCAATCAACACAACACTTGTGCTTAGATTCTCGTATTCAATAGTTTTCCTCTAAAAATGCATTTCAAATCATATTCTGTCAGAAAAGGCAACAAAACCAATAACTCATTAAAACAATTATTTAAATATTCAAGAGAAAAGGAGTTTACAATATATTTATGCTTTCAATCAATTATTTACTTAATATATGAATGACTTGTTTCGATACAAACAGTACAGTATTTTCACGACAAACACGAGTTTAAAAAGAAAAACTCTTAAAAACCAATGAAAAAACTAAGCATTGAATTAACGATTAAATAATAATCAGAATCGAGAAAAAGGCTATCATTAGAACCTAAAAAACCTCAAACCTTAGACAGACATACAGTTTAAATGTTATGCAATATTACTGTATAATTATTGCACTAAAAATTATAAAACCAATTTACTTTTCAATGTCTGACTGAGTGTCTCATAAAAAGTGATTCCGTTTTTCCTTAAAGAAGTTTCTGTAATAGACTTTGTCTTAGAAATGCTGTCGAATAGGACTCAACCCCCGGCTCTTAGGGTTGTGTTGAATCTAATTCTATGTTTTCTCTTCTATTCTTCAATTCTCTCCTCTTTTGTGGCAATAATTTTGCATTTGAAGGACGAATGAGAGCTTGTGTTCAGAATACCGGTAGTTTCTATGGGGGCTGAGTGTGTTGGTTTGCCTCACAAAAACTCATTACTGCCAGAGAGAGAGAGAGAGAGAGAGAGAGAGAGAGCTAGAGAGAGAGAGAGACGTCTTTCAAAAAATAATTCCCATGTTTGTGTAAAAACTATTTCTAACCAAGTTTTTAATGAATTTTATGATAATAATTATAAAAATAATTAAGTGATAATAAAGCATCATTTTTAGTTAATTTGAAATATCGGTAAAATAACGTTAACCGTTTGGAAAGAGAGATTAAAACAATAAAAATATAATCGAGATTTTGAAAAAGTATTAATAAAATGATTTCATTACTTAATTATTTGCTTTTTGCAGAAAATTTAAGAAATGGAGGAAAATATAATTTTATTAATGCATAAAAACATAATTATACTATTATTTCAAAGGGCGATAAATCAAAAACTATTTCATAATGTAAATCAAAGTTTTTGTAATACTGTATTTATAATATGGAAAGTTTAGAGAATCTGATAAATAGGTATGATAAACGGTTATCAGATGTAGATTCAATTAAAATAATTGTGAGGAAAAGGTATGAGTGAAAAATATAAATGTATGAAAAACATTCATAACTTGAAACCAATTCAATTCATATGGCATTAAAAATATAAAAATTTAGATTTAATTCAAGGTTTTCGTATATGATAATGAGATAAGTGTTTAATATATTACAAAAAACACAAAATATAAAAAACAATATAACAGACGATAAATGAAATCATTTAAAATATAGCTGAAATTCATTACAAAAAAGTATTACATTATCTATAATACGAACGAATAATTTCGAAAATAAGTTTAAAATCAAATGTATTTCTCAAGTAATTATCGAAAAGTACTAAAGAAATCGTTGACGCGATTATAGATTATTTTAATAAAAACAAAAAAATTTGCTCAAAAACTTATAGTTTATTAGTTAAAGGAAGTGTTTCTATTGTTAAGTCTGTATATTTAACAAAAACATTTTGTAATTTCTTTTTTACGGCGAAAATTACACCTATTTTTCATAATAAATGTCTAATAAGTTTTCAAGGATTTCAGGGATTCGTTAAACACTTTAATGAAAAACATGTATTAGTTTTCATGAATTTTCAGTATTTTCAAAAAAGTGCAATTAAACCAAAAAATTAATTCCTATTTTATAAATGAGTCACACTTTTACAAAAGTATTGAATTAAATAATTATGTAAAACATAAAAAACTGAATGAAACAACAGATTTGAATAAAAATGAATTAACAATAAAACTAAAACATAACCGAAAAACAATTGGTATTTATATCTATTTTAAGTTTAATTGATTTTGTATGAAAAAATAAATTACTTTTAATAGAAAAAAATTTCAGCAAAATAATAACTTTAAATAGTTTCAATAAATAATAAAAACAATCTAATTATAACTCTTTTGAAAACATTTATATAATTGAAAAATAAGTTTTTAAAATTCAATTCAATATCAATTATATTGAATGTGTTATTTGATAACTTGTTTTTGAGTTAAAGTTATTTTTTAAAATAAAAAATATTTGAAATTCAAATCCCAGGGAAGAATATTTTTAGCGAAAAAGTAAATTAAAGTAAAAATGAGTTTATATTTATTATAGATATGAATACATTAAAAAGTTATGCCATAAAACCATTTGGCGATTGAAATGAAGTGTTTTTACGAGAAAAACATTTGCAAACAAAAGCAACAAAAGAGGACTTAATTTTAAATATCATTTCAATTGACTATTAATTTGCATTCATTGGCCAAAACTATAGTAAATTATGTATAAAATAACGACTGAATTGCCTAACATTGCAATCGATAAGTGATTTAACGTATAAAAATAAACCTAAATTATCAAGTTTGCAAACTAATTAAATTAATTAACTGAAAAACATTTGCATTCATACAGTGAGTAAACACATGAATAATGCGTTAATTTTCAATAACAGTATTGAATAATAACTGTAAACTAAAATCAAAACACTTTATAATTAAAGTTTTGGACAAAAGAGATGCGCTTTTTGTACGTATGGCTGGAAATGTATGGCAAATGTATGGCAAACATATGAGACAAAGGGATGGGTGTATGTGGTGTTAGGGAAGTGATAGGGTGATGGTGTACGGGTCATACAAACCATGGTAATGCCGGCCAACGCCAGTGTCATCCACACCGTGTCCTTCAGGAAGTGGTCATCGAGTTGGTCGTCGGCGACCCCATTGTCATCATTGGCTCGCTTTGAGATCAATTGGCTTTCCTTGCAATGGATGCCAACGTTGAGACACTTGCACACCAACTGAACCATCGTTTGTCAGTCTTTTGATGATTATTACTCTTATTATTATTGAATAAATTAAAAGTTTTGCTCAAAACTACTGATTGTTTGAACGCAATGTATAGCACAACACAAATGCAAACCAATTATACTGTCATTCACTCGAGATTTCCATTCAATTGTCAACTGCTTTGCGATTGCATTCACTGTACGACTGCGAGCTGTTCATGGGTTACCACCAAATCAAGTGATCTGTGAGTATGAGTGAAGACTTCTTGGTGTCCATACACTCAATGAGTTACAGTTAATGACGAGAAAAGTTGGATGAAATGATTGAAAGACAGGAGAAATGCGATTATTATTATTGTGATGATTATTGTGTCCTTCAGATGAGCTCTAATATTGTAGTGAATGCTATGCTATGGTATAGTCGGGTATCCAATGCTTTATATGCTGTTCACCACTGAGTCTAACATTCATTTGTCATTCACTGTCTATCTATTACGGCACATATGGGCTGTGGGTAGGGATGCCGAGCACCTCACGTACACTACTCCATGAGCCACACATACGAGTGCAGCACTGAATCAGCTGTTATCAGAGGGAACGGTATGTCCGCGTATTGTCTGAGTGGCACGAGTATGGAGAGGTTTGGTAACACGACTGCGCTCTCGTCATAAGACTCATAGCTGTAAACACATGCGATTTAAAGGGAAGGCAATGCACTGAATGTGTGAGACATATAGCCATCGCTCCGACCAATAGAGCGAACGAACCACAGCCAGACCCACATCCCTATCCCTATCCCTGTCCCTATCCCTTTCCCTATCCCTTTCCCTATCCCTATCGCCATCCAAACCCGGGCCGCACTTACGGTTACGGCATATGAGGTGATGGCATACGTGCTATACGTGTGTACAATGCATACAATCAAACGCTTTATGAAACACTATTTAGTGATCAATTTGGGATCTACGGTATTGGGTATTCATTTGGGAATCACTTTATTTGTCATTTTTATATTAATTGTAAGTTTCGTATGAATTTTGCATTCATATGAATGTGAGTTTCCATACAAACAACACTCGCATCCAGTGATTAGGCGTTCAAATTGCTATTCATTGATAATGAGTGGCATATCTGAGATGTAGGTGCGGCGGACGACCACTATTTTGCAGGTATGTCCGCGTATTGTCTGAGTGGCACGAGTATGGAGAGGTTTGGTAACACGACTGCGCTCTCGTCATAAGACTCATAGCTGTAAACACATGCGATTTAAAGGGAAGGCAATGCACTGAATGTGTCAGACATATAGCCATCGCTCCGACCAATAGAGCTCGCGAACCACAGCCAGACCCACATCCCTATCCCTATCCCTATCCCTATCCCTATCCCTTCCCTATCCCTATCGCCATCCAAACCCGGGCCGCACTTACGGTTACGGCATATGAGGTGATGGCATACGTGCTATACGTCTGTACAATGCATACAATCAAAGGCTTTATGAAACACTATTTAGTGATCACTTTGGGATCTGCGGTATTGGGTATTCATTTGGGAATCACTTTATTTGTCATTTTTATATGAATTGTAAGTTTCGTATGAATTTTAGTAAGTATACTTACACTCAAAGGTATGTTTGTTGTGAGCGTAGGTCACTAATCCGCAAGTTTAACGATAAGTAACTATTACTCACCGTATAGACTCTACATCCACGCCGCCTGCTGGTGATAAAACGACATTTGCAGACAACTTGATAGCACTGGTAGGCCTGGGGTCTAGGAATAGATCACTTGAGCGCACATATCATTCAGAAATTCTCTATGACTTTGAAAAGACTTTATATTTCAATCAAATTATGTTTATATATATTCTTAAGACTACTTTTACTGTGCATTCAGTGCTAACTAAACATCGAAACGATTGGAGACTTCACTCTAACAAGTCTTGTAAGAAGTCTTTTGTTGAGATAATCTGCGAAAAACAAAATTAAAAATATATTTGTGTTTAAATTAAATCTAATATAAGAAACTCCTATAAATATATTTATATAAAAGATTTAAATATAGATTTTGTTCGCTGTTTATCTAAATCTACAGAACCATAACTCTTAAGACTTTGCTATCAATTTAGTTTTATTTGTATTTTTTATTCAAAAAACTATAAACAAATATACTTTACACGACTGTTGAGAGAACTGTTCCTAAGATATGCTTTTATACTGTTTATTGATTTACAGCCAAATGGGGGGCACATCGGGACAGACATGTTTATGGGACACACAAACCATTAACTATTTACTCAATTAGTATAAACAGCATTCAAACTTACAGAATCCTTAAGCCATTTCAATATTCCTTTAGTATTCTCTGTATTTATTGCAATACTTGTAATACACATAAACCTTACCCTCCCCTCCATTCAGCCAGGGGAACTGATGAGAGATGAAATATCAATAGTGAGCTAAACTTTGAATTAAAATGAAAGTTACGTTAATGTCATTTCTTTATTTACACATAATAAATATTATGTCATATTAAATACGGTAGTTATGATATTGCACACTATTTAGGCCTGTAAACTGCGAAATATAAAGTACAAGGACCTAGACAATTTATTGAACCTTAAATACAATGAAATCTATGATGAAATATCGATGGATTTCTTCATCACATTTGATCCTCTCTTCAAGTGTTGAAAAGCTTTAATAAATGGTATAATTTTGAGTATTCATGTCATGTCTAATGAGACCAATACTACCGTTTTGAAGATACAGTTCAAGTGTTTGCACAGATTATCTCAATTATTTCAAAGACTTTTCTCTCGACTCATATTATGCTTCACTTCGTATTAAAATATAATTTTCAGCTTAAAATCACTTCACATGTAAGTCGCTATTCATAGTCATTGCGTTTGTAGTTTTTTATTTAGATTTGTTAAGAGATACAACAATAATTTCAGTACAATATTTGCACCTAATTTATCGATGCGTTCAATCAGACGGTAGTATAGCTTATTAATTATAATGTTTCAAATGTAGACTCTAATGTTGAAAATTTTCTAAGATTTTGCCAAAACTTTTCCACATTTCAGATCACGAATTGTTTATCAAATTAATTATAATTTGATGTACAAATATAGTGGTATACTTTTGATTTAATGTAAAAGTATTACAGAAAAATTATATAATATTGAAATGATTTCCTGAAGAATTTTTGTGTAATTTATACAGAAAAACATCACATACTTTCCTTGAATTATTATTCATTAGTCATTAAATATTATAAAAATGACAAAAAAATTGTCGAATTGTTACAAAATAATTCATAACATTATAATATCACAATTTCTATGCTATTATAAATCATATAAGGAGCTATTCAAATGAGTTGTTAGATAATTATATTATACAATATTTTCTATAATATACTATTATTATTATTGCAGCTGAATTTTATGATAAATTAATTTTATTTCATTATAAATATTTTGAATTCTTTGAATACAGATTCTTTGTATTTGAGTTTTAAACTAGAAATTTGTTGCAATATTTGGCTTTTGATTACATTGAAGAATTGACTCATGAAATATAGCAAATATTGTTTAAACTTGTTATACAATTAACTTGTTGTTAAAGTGAACTGAAGGGTATATCTAATGATTATCTAAAGAAAATTCCTATAAATGGGAAGATATTGTCTGTAAAAATTTATTTGAAAATTTTAAAAAATTAATTGTGTTCTCTATTTGCAGTACACAATCACATAAATTCAGTTTATTGTCCAGTGTTTTTGAACTTATTTGTGTAGGTTACTTTTGTAATACTATTATTTTATCGTACATTTTGTACACTAATGAGAATATGTTTGAAGAGTGGGAGCCATAAAAGTGTTTAAAATAATTTGGAAACAAAAATCATTAAAAAGCAAATGAACTCTAAATGCAAAGCCTTTCAAAAGACAAACTAAAAAATTAAGGTTTCTTTCCGTTAAATAATAAACACATTGAAGTAAAATGCAAAACTAGTTAAACAAATACTGATCGCTAGAATAGCTATCAAAATATAAATGATATTATTGTACAAAACAATTATTTTATTTGCTTTATTGTGATGTAAATTTAGATTAAACTTATTTGCATTATTGATGAGTGTTTCTAAATAAATATGACTTTTATGTTAAACAGAAGTAAAAAAGCCTTTATATTGTTTAGTGCCAGAATATATTGATAAATGTTTGTTGTGTCACAAAAGTATATGACTTAACATAACTTACATTCAAGACAAGTAAATATAATTATTGTTTATCACTTATTGTAAGTGGGCTCTTAAGTGATATGTCAACTCATGGCCATGTTATAACATGTGATATGATCGAATGAATACTAGCTATACTATACTAGCTAGCTTATTGTACACTATACTAGTCTGTATAAGTTATTATATAACAAGTGTATTCACACAAACCGTTTGTGAATAGTGTGTAAACTTAATACAAAAACTTATATTTTATTTGTTGTTGGATCAGTTCAGTCTATTATATTAGAAATATAATATGACTGTAGTGTAGGGTTTAGTGATCATTGATCTGAAACAATAGGGGACAACAAAT